CTGCTAAATTCTCTGCATAATAGACTTAAAGATCCCATGTTTTGCCCCTTTTTCAGCAGATTAATGAAAGTTTCATATGTAATCCTAATGTTTTTTTTAGCTCAAAATACCACAAAGATGATTTATTCCACCAGTTCCTCACATGCTGGGAGTGCATGAAGACTCTGGTGTTCACTCTTACATCCAACAACGGAACATTTGGTGTGTTTTTTTTTTTGTGGCTGAGACATTTTAAAGTTTAAAAAAAGTGAATAATACTGGTGGAGGCAGTTGCTCTTTTTGAATCGTAAAACAATAACAAGAAGAAGAAAAAAAGATTTTCACCATATGGGATCTTTAAAACATGAGATATCATCAAAAGTGCGACTTTAACACCAGGAGGACGGCATGAATTTGTGAAATATGTCCCAAATTGCAGCCTCTTAAACTGGAAATGATTAATTGTTGCTGTATACGCACTGAAATGCTCGGTCAAGTTGAGGTCTCTCCATTTCGTGAGTCCTTCGGAGAAATATGTTTCTACTTCCTGCAGAGGGAAAAATTAAAACAAATCATCACCAATCACAGGTAAACAGACATTAAAGTGAGTTTAATTATCTCGTTTACTGTCTGCACAAACCTCAGCGTAAGCTCCGGTTCTGTCAATCCGATGGATGACATCGATGTTGACGTTGGCGAGCCTTTCAGCAAAAGTGAGAAACTGAAAGAAATAAGTTAAAGGATTTTAAAATCTGCTTCAGGTTAGATGCTCACTTTAGCTGATGTGTTTTCGGCTTTTGTGGACTTGGACACCATTTATCAGTTTAATAAAGACGGTTAGAGTGATGCTACACTTGGCCACTGGTCCAGCTCTTCGTTTCTCGGGTTCTACCTCCCTACAGACCCTTGATCTCATAGGATTCTGTAAAACTGCTTAAGCTGGTGTCGAGGAAACGCGTCTAGCTTCCAACTGCCTTAATCCAAACGTCTACCCCACTTCTTCTGATAGTTGACCCAACCAAGTAGCCTCAGTAGTCAAATCTACCAGACACGCTTGTTGATGGCAGCTTTCCTCTTAAATGGATCGAGCACTTGGTTAAAGTTTAGAGGTTTGCTAAAACTAACCCCTGGGATATGTCTAGAAATACTATTTAGGAATAACCTTTAAGAACAATTAAAAACATCTTGTGTGCACAATTAATTAACTTTTTACTACCATCAGATACTGTGAAAAATGCAATAAAATTTCAGCTGGGATAGACTCCAGCCCCCCATGACCCTAGTGAGGATTACACGGCGTATAGATAATGGATGGATGGATTAAAAATTGATTATTTCAGATAAAAACGATAAAACTGAGCTTTTCTGAATTAGGAGACTAACAAGTAATTTAGGGAGGGAGTGAGCCGGACAGCGAGGCCTATGCTGGCCAACTCAGCCCTGTTTAGATCTGAGCCTGGAGGAGTCCTCTTCCAGTGATGCAGCAACCCAGTACAGAGTCCTGATCCCTGGACAGAACCTTCCTGAATCAGGGGGAGATGAGACATCCTGACTCCGATCAGATCTGCAGTTCTTTTGCATCCATTTGGGGAATGAAACGAACACTTCTTCATGCAGAAAACAAAGAACGGGGTTCTGCTTCTCCTCTTGAATAGAATTTGCAGACCCAATCGGTGGAGGAGTGTTCAGCTCTAATGATGTCCCGTGAAGAACTTCGCCATCTCCATCTTAAGTCTCTTTGTCATGCCTTTTCATACTGTTGTCTCTCCCTTTGCTCTGAAGTCACACACAACTCTCCGCTCCACGCACATACTTCCATTATACAATATACTGAGCACATACACCTGGTTACACATTTCTAATAGACGCTTCAACTTTAAGCCATACACCTGATGAGTTTGTCATTAGCGTAGCATCTTGATGTCTTATTTGGTAACACATCTGTTGATAACAGGAGGAATCATCAGCTGCTTTTGAAACAGTAACCTCATCAGACCTGTCCAGACATGCCCTGTTTCTTGCTCTCTTGACATTTTCACCCCTTCTCTCATCTTTAATTCAATGGTTAAACGAGATCACCTTTAATTCATTGCAATGTTGAAGCAACCACTTCATATTTAAACACCTAATCACAGCATTTCTTATCACAGAGTCTTTTCTATTGCTTCAGCCAGTGCTCTTTGTCAGTGGCTGCTTCTGGGATCGCAATCCTTGACAATAGGAAACAGTTTTTTTTAAGTCTACTACATCTTTTGCAGTCTTTTATAAGCATCACGCTGTTGGGTTTTGCACTCACCCTGAATGTGTTCTCAGATCTGTGATACGAAGACTTGGATTTAATCTTCATCTTGGCCTCGTCGTTTGACAACAGAAGAAGAAAGAACCAAAGATCGATGCGCGATTTAAATAATTCATGAAAACTACGATTTGTTTGTTTGTTCTTTTCTTTTTTTTTTCTTTTAGCCGATGCTACAACTGTTTACACACACGCCGACTGCAGGACGCCGCCATGTTGAGCAAAGCATGACGGGAAAAAGTCTCCGCGTGTTGGTACAAAGAGCAGCGAAGAAGAAGAGAAGTAACGTCCCGTCACTTCCGGGTTGGTTTCAGGCTCCGAGGAGGATGTTTTAGGCTATTTCAGGGCCATAAAATGAGTTTTGTCGAATAACCAAGGATCATTTCAGTTAGTCTGACTTACTTTTAGGCTAAGATAAACTTTCCCATTTAGCCAAGGCTTATTTTTAAGCTATTTTGGTTCCTTAAAGCAAATTT